GAATAGGACACCGGAAACAAAGCTCCCCACAGGAGTTTCCGCACCGGAAGTAGCATATGCTAACGTGCACATAGTCAGTTATTTTTATTAAAGTGCTACGATGCAGCCTTCAAAATAAAAGTCTCTGCAATGCCCATGCGGATGTTGCAGGAGTTATTAAAGAGTTTAACATCTGCTACCGACACACGATTACAATAACAGTCCTGCATTGTGCTCATGTGTCTTTATTTATTTTAGTTTGTTGAGTGAGGACATTGTTGGACTGGACTCAGGCTTATTCAGCCTTCTGCTTGTTGAATAAGCCTGAGCTTCTATAAATAGTAATCTTGTATAATAGTGTGTGTTTGTGTGATCAGGTAGAGTATAAGAAGAAGTACGAGCAGACCAAGGCTCATTACCACACAGCTCTGCACACGGCTGAACAGCTCCACCACAAGGAGAACGCAGTGCTGCACAGCCAGGTACACACACACACACACACACACACACACACACACACACACACACACAAACAAAGGCTTTCATTGTCTGATCATTTCTAAACTTTACATTGTGTAAGTGCGTCTGATGGGTTTGTGTGCTTTGTTGTTTTCAGGTCAAGTACAGAGAGGAGTATGAGAAGAACAAAGGTCGCTCCCTGATGGAGTTCGGAGACACTCAGACCTACAAGGTGTCCAAGGAAGCACAGAAGATGCAAAGCGAGGTGAAACGTCTCTGCAGCTCTGACAGAAACAGACTTTGTGTTTCTTTATCTTTACAATCAGAAGCTTCACTCTGAGCTTTTGGATCCAGCAGAGGAAGACTTCAGGTTTGGCGTGTTGTGCGTCTTTTGTTCTGACTTTGAAACTTTTTACGTGACATGTAGCAAATAATCCAAACAATATTTTGGCCTGCAGACTGGAGTGAATGAGTCTTTTTATTTGCACAGAACACAACGAGCATCTTTACTGCCTATTATAGAACTTTGAACACTGATTTCACAGCTGAGAAAATCTAAACCTAAAATAAATCATAAGTCATATAATAACACGACTCCAGAAGGAGCTTAAATCAAGCAAAGCTATCATATTGTTTAAAACGAGTTTAAAGTGTTTGAGTGTCGTACAGAGAGAGCGTTCACAGCACAGCCACAGGTTATTAACGCTCTGCTCGCATCATGAACGATGCTGCAGAGCGGTGTCACTTCTTTTTCTGTCAGTCGTTAACAACATGAAAACAAATCTGTTGCATTTTAGAGAAGCTGAGATCAGTGCGCGCCACCTGCTGTGGATCTGTGCCCCAGTTTGACCAGTTAGACTCCAAATCAGCCTCTGAAGGAAATACCAGTGAAGCTCCGGCATGATGAGGCGATCGTACTTTTGTGGGGTTTACAATTATTGGTTGTACAAGTCTGAGGGTTATCGTGCACCTGCGCCTTAAAAAGCTACAAATATTAATGCTGATCACATCTATCTGTGTGTCTCTTACAGAAGGAATATCGGAAGGACTATGAGGAGCAGATGAAGGGCAAAGCCTTGGTGGACGTCGACCAGACGCCTGGATACCTGACTGCGCGCCATGCTAGCAGCCTGCTGAGCGAGGTGAGGTAGCCTCAGAGGGATGAGCTATTTAAAGCCACGTTAGAGGTTTGATCAAGCTGTGCTCAAACCTGGAAGTGCAGATAATCCATAATCCACTGATTTCCAGCATCTTTTGGCTTGTGAAGCACTTGCGATGTAGATTTTGGTTTTCATGTCTTTTATTATCTGAAAGATTGAAAGACAAAATCAGTGAACAGTATCCACGTATATTTGTTTTAAAGAGTTTTAATAGGAGGAGGAGCTAAATGTATCGACTATTTTGCTTATTTAAACAACATTTGGCAGATTCTAAGGAGAGAAGCAAAGAAATCAACACATTTTTAATCTATTTATGTGAAATGAAGCACTTCACAAAGAAAAAGAACAAACGTTTGGCTTTAATCAATCAATTTTCATTTTTAGTTTCGCTGTTTTTGCTTTTTTTCGCTCTTTCCTTGCAGAAAGAGTACAGGAGGGACCTGGAGCAGGAGGTGAAGGGGCGGGGCTTATCTGGTGTTGGTCTTGAAGAGACACCTGAGCTGCTGAGGGTCAGAAAAGCCAATCAGATACTGAACCAGGTGAACTAAACACACACACAGATCTCTAAAAGGTGTAAGTGGCCTGATGTGAACTGGAGTTCCAACTGTGGCGTTCACAGAAGGAGTACCGCAAAGATCTGGAGAGGGAGATTGTGGGGAAAGGCATGGAGCTGAGTGCTGATGTGCTGGACATGCAAAGAGCCAAGAGAGCCTCGCAGATCCAGAGCCAGGTTTGTGTCACTGGATTAAAGGAAATGGAAGTTCTTTCTCGGACATGCAGCCTGCGAACACTGAGCTGATGGTTTCTGTCTGCCTGATGCAGAAGTCGTACAAGCAGACGGAGCAGCTGAGAGAACACTCATACGGGTCGGTTACAGACACGCCTGAGCTGCTGCACGCCTC